GGAACAAAAGGCTTATTTTAATAAAGGATTACTGAACTATCAATGACAAGCTTAGAGTTAGAAACAGGCCAAAATCACAGGTCTGATGCTGCAGCCGCTCTGTCAGGAGTGTCCACAAACCTTCCTCCAGCATTTAAACAAATTGCAAATCTGCAGGACCAAAATGCCATAAGAGGCCTCTGGATAGGGAAAAAATGGAAAACTATTTCCCTTAGCCCCGGTCCTACCAACTCCAGGAACAAGCACAAACTCTTTGTTGCAAATCAGCACAGGGCAGGAGTCAGTGGCTATAGCCCCTACAAAGACATCACAGCCACCCAACATCCCTAACTGTCCTTCAGTCTACTTAACCCCATGCAGAAGACTCGCAGGCTCCTAATCCCACCTCCACAGAAGTTCAGAAAACTCCTTTTTGCCCCAGAAGCAACAGTTTTGATCCAACACAAGAGACTTACCTTCCCAAACTGCTCGAAATATTGTTTCACATCCTCCACAGTAGTGTTCACGGACAGACCACCCACAAATATCTTCTTCGTTCGGGTCACCATCTGGAAAAGGGAAGGACAGGAATTCACCAAATAAACCCAGAGCGAGCGGAGAACGAGACTCAAAAGGCCACTAACTCCCCTCCGCTGCTGGGAAGCGCCTGCCCCTTTGCTGCAGCCGAGCTTCCACCTTCTCGAGGCCCCCTGGCCAAACGTGGCCAGCAGGTCTGTCCCACGCCGGACCCCAAGACACAATCTCGCCCTTGCGCCACCCCATCGTGCTTGCCAGCGCCCAGCCACCACCTCCTCCTCGGACAGCACGTTACCAGCCTCTCCCCTTGCTAACCTGCTGCTCCTCTCTTGGCACCTTCGCACCACCCCGCAGGCGCGAGGCACGACCGTCCCCTCCCCAGCCCTCCAGCTCTTCCTGCAGCCCCGTCACTTTGCAGAGACGGCCTCCTCCAGGCTCCCCCAGAGATGCCTGCTCTGCTTCCCGGAGCAGAAGGATGGGCAGGAGGCCTGCCAGCGCAGGTAGGCTCCCCAGGCTTCGCCCTCCCAGCTCACAAATTGCAAAGCATCCCATCTTGCATGGAGTAAGCCTCATTTCACGCCCATTCCCCAGTCACTTAAATAGAGCCCAGTCAACTCCCAGTTAAATCTCTTTTCCCTCTGCAAGAAGGCAAAGAGAAGATCCCTCTGCCACTTGTCACTCATGCAACTGGGACAAGGAAGAAAACTAACTGCCCTGAGAGGAGCCATTGCTGCCAGGCTGAGGCACACCGACGTCCTTTGAACCGGCTCTCCAGCTGCATCCTCCCCTTAGCTGCCTGGCTACACCCCTGCTCTCAGAGGAACACATGGTCCTAATTACCCCAAGGAGCACAGGGCTAATCCGCAGCAATTCCCTGGCTTGGAGAGCAGCCCGTTCTAACACTAAAGCACCTTCTGTCACCAAACTGCTTAATGGAATTAACCCAATTCCTACCATGTGCTTCCTGGCTCCAGTTACTCAGGATACCTGCTCACCAATTGTTCTCGGCGCCTGATCCCCCTTACTTCCCTCCCGGCACCAGTCTCCTCTTCCCTCTCTGCTTCTCCCCAGCTCTTTCTCCCATGACAGCACTTGGAATCGAGACTCTGAACTTGAAAAATCCCATCCAAGGGCAAAGTTAAAGGGAGATGCAGAGTCTAAAGGCAGCCTCCAGCCTGCTGCCGGCTCCTCAGTTAAAGGTTTCTAGCTGCACGCCTGGAAAAAGTTCCTGCAACTGCACATTGCCAGAGCCTCTTGTAGATAAAGTCCAACACCAAACTCCTGCCTTTTCCAGCGCTGAAGCACACAAGGGCATTTCGCAAAACGAGATCCTTCTCCCCCTCTCTGCCGTACACCTATTCGTACACACGCACGCGCATACGCTCGACCCTCTTTCCACCTCTACCACGTCGCAGCATGGAGCTGTTCTGTGTCTCCTTAGGCCTGAAACTTCCAGACACTGGCTGCACCTTCGGAAAGACTAAGTTCACCCTGGGCAGCACTTATTTCACCACTTATTTCACTAGTGCATCCTAAAGCATAATCGAGGGGCCTCCCAGTTCCTCCAGTGCCACGCAAACCCCCAGCGCTGCGCTGCAAGCCCAACAGGAGCGTAGCACGGCGCAGCGCGTCACGCTGGCGATGCAGCACAGCAGCTCCTGCTCGAGGTGAGTCCTGAGTAAACCCCAGGGAGCGACTCCGCTGCATGCACTGGCAACCTTGCACGGAGGGACAAGATTCACCACCATGAATTTCACCCCTTGGAGTGGCAAGGGCTGCCCGCAGTGCTTACCTTGGGCTGTGCTCGGCGGGGGAACGCTACCTTCGGGTCAATCTGAAAGAGATGTGGGGAAGAACAGGTGAACACGCTTTTGCTGCCTGTTTACAGACGCAGGGTTTCCTCCATGCGCACGGCTCGCTCTGCCCACGTGGCACCTTGCTAAAAACCCAAATAATCTACCCGAGGTGCATAAAAGGAAACTGGCTGCAGACATCTTTCCTGCTTGGTAAGGTGTAATCCAGGGAGACTACAAGTCCCAGCATGCAGTGGTCCGTCTCCAGCTGAGCGCTGGCCAGACGCACCCGGGAGCCCATCACATGCTGGGATTAACAGGCTGGGCTGCACCCTCCCGCTCGGCCTGCCCCTGGGTGCCCTGCATCACCGGCCTCATATTAAAAGTGCTTTCTTTTGCCGTTTTGCTCTCCCCCTTCACTCCACCTACAAGTACAGAGCTCACCTGGGTAGTAACAGGACAGAAAAGAGGCAGCGCGCAAAAAGCCAAACATTTCATCCCACAAAACACGGGGGGAGAAATAAAAGAGCAGACAGGGCAGCACAAATTAAACCGAGGAGCCCGAAGCCCCCCAGGCTGCAGAGGCTGCGGCCACAGGGCAGCGCGCTGCCCCTCTCCCCAGGCTGCGCCGCACACAATGACACGATGCCTCCCCTCTGCAGGCTGAGCCCTCCATTGTGCCTGTTCAGCTCCTCTGTAAACCTGCTGCCGGCCGGAGCTGCCGGGCCCCACGCCGCCATCCAGGTGCCGCGCGTTCTGCTGGGCTCAGCACAGATGAGCGCGTGCCGGCATTGGCCTTGCACCACCACAAAAGCCGGGACAGCACTAATGCAGCTGCAAGCCAAACACCCGCGGAGCCTCCTCTCCTCCTCAGCCACCACCTCTTTCTTTATAGCCTATTTTTACAGCAACTCATGTAAAGTTACATCACATCGGGGATGATCCAGACCTACAAATCAGCTTACAAAGACCTGCGGTAAGGGCAGGTCTGGCTCATCCCTGCACTTGGACAGGCTGCAGCTGGGAGGGCAGCTCGCAGCCTCGTCCCATCAGCCCGGCAGCTCAAACAGCCCAAAAGGAAGCTGTGGTGCTCCAGCTCCTCTCGCTGCTTTGTTCGGCTTTCCAGCCTGGCCGCCCTCCCGTCCCGCGTCCTGTCACTTGTCACACGGCCCCGGAGCTCAGCCTCCCCGCGCCCTGCCACCAGCTTCTCTCCTGCCTTCCCCACCTCCATCCTGACTCACAGCCTACAACATAAATAAACTCAGCACGTAAGTAAACAGAGGCAAAAGTGAAGAGCACAAATAAACTCAAAAATAAACCTCCCTCCCCAGGCTCCAAGCACCAGCTCAGCATACCCTCCGGTGCCTCCCTGGGGCATCTGAACCCTCCCTCCCTCCCCGCGCACCCCCCCACCGCTTCCTGGCTAGCGCAGACACCCACAGCGAATTCTGAGGACAGGGGACGGCAGGAGACCAGGAGGTTGATGGCAGATAATAAGCAAAAACAATAATCTACTGTCTTTTACTTCTCAGCCAGTGTCATTCAGCTCCTGCCAAGAAGATGCTTTCATACTCAGCAATGCTAAGCTCGGCCTCATTTTCTCATTACCCTGAGTGTGATCAACTGGGCAGAGATAACGCGTCCTCCTGGCTGGAGGGAGCAGGCAGTCATTTCACAAATTCTTCTGCACAACCAGCTATTGTTGCAGGTAGAGGGAGGCCGGGGCCGCCGACCGCAGGGGCAGCCCTGGGAACACGCGGAGGGGAGCGAGTTCAGTGCCGGACTCAAGTTACTCAAACTGGACTGCTCCTTGCTGGCTGGACTCTTTCTAATTAAAGTGAAAGCGCTGGTACCTTATTCCCTCATTTCTGGTGTTAAAACAAGTAGCCCTGGAGGAGTTGCGTTTCAGTGTCACCCGCTGACGTAATGGATCCTTTTTACGAACCTAGACAGAAATCTGCTAAGAGTAAGAGCATTCAGAACTGCTCAGATTGTATCCAAAAAACAAAACCCCGGGATCAGGCTGCGGTGAGTGGAAGTCACTCGAGCACGAACCGCTTCCACTTCACCTCACAAGGCTTTGGGGACGAGGAATCCCACTGACGTCGCAGGTGTACCAAGCGGGCCGGCCGGGCTCCTCGGTAACGCTCTTCAGGCCACCTACGGCACCGTTTAATAGCTCAGGTCACGTAACTCCCGCGTTAACCCGGCCGGTAGCGGTGCCCCAAAGCAGGGGGAGGGCAGGGAAGGACCCGCAAGACCTCAGGACTGGGTTTGTTCATTCATCGCACCTCTGTGGCTACCTTCGCTCTGTCAGCGCTGCCCCAGAGCCGCAGATCGCTCCCTCCGCCACAAAAGACAAACCCAGCAAAAACTCAGTAACGGCAACAAAGAAACCACAGGGCGACCCAGCACCGCCGAGCCCAGAAGCAGCTCAAGGCAGTGGCCAGCTGCAGCTTTACAAAGTCACGCAAATCTTTTACCTTGAGACTGCAACGCCAATTCTCATATCAAGCATTTCCATAAATAACCCCGTAGGCTGCTGCTATCTAGCTTACAAACAAAGAGGAGCCTGAAAAGCACAAGGTTTCCCCGGAGAATCGGGCCAACAGCCCTCGTTAGGGTAGGAAGAATCGGAAAACAATGAAGCAACAAGTTGGGCAGACACTGTCTATCAAGTGCTGCTTGCCAGGAGACACGGAGCCTCGAGAGAAGGCTGTCCTTCCAGGACACCGGGCCTTTTCCTGCAAAGTTTCATAAAACCCTAAATTAGGATTCAGATGAGTTTGTGTCATTTAACCCATGACTCACAGCAGAGCCTTTCAGTTCAGCAG